GAAGACAACGGAGACACTGACGACACACTCAGCGATGAACGCAAAGACAGTACCGACTCTTTAAACTCAAGCGTTTAGTTGACAATTGAATACTGTTTAGACGTTTTGCATGTATTTGTTTCATGTATTTACCATTTAATCTGTTTATGAATTCATATTTATTGATACATCGATAATGTATTGACATTTGTATTGTATATTATTTGTAACCTAATTGAGAGGACACGTCCGGACTATACCTCCGGTTAGCGCTTACGGACACTAACGTTAACATAATTTATTTAAATAAATATTTATACAAGTTTTTAGGCATAAAATGTTTGAATTATTGTACGAAAAAACATTTTTATAAACGTCAACATAATTTCAATGGCAAACATGTGTCGACTATTTTTGATAAGCATTTAACGGGTAATTAAAATACCGAAATCTGGAAAAGTTTTTTTTTTCAAAATTCAATGTTGTTTTTATGCGCGACAAGAATGCACTCCTCATATGATATCATAACTCAGTTTTGGATTCTTTGAGTCTTAAAAATAGTGTTCACGTCATGTAAGAGGAAAACATAGTCTATGTCTATGTCATAGACACCGAGAGTCAGTGTTTGGGAAACAAAAATAAAACATTTGTTCCGCAATTAGAAACCCAAAGGCAGAGCTCTGCCAGTCCTCAGTGTATATCTCAACTGATCTCTCATATGGTGTGTGTCTATCGCTTCCCTCAAGTGTTGAAATCTATTTAATGTGAAAAATATTTGTTGATTTGATTTGTTGTGCGGAATATAGCGGTTGTGTCGGGCAGTGATGTGGAGTTACAGCAAATCGGGAATTGTTCCCCAATTAGTCAATCAATACAATGATATAATTGAACAGAATTTGTGTCAAACGATTCAATTGAATGAATTGCGGAATAATTCAATGGACAGCGAGTGTAACGATGGATGTGTTGAAAGTGAAAGTGTTAGCAGAAATGAAACGCGCGATAACTTCTCTACATTGACTAATAAGGACTCCAATCACTATAACAGTAATGCCTCTCAAATGCCTCACAATAGCATCGCTGTCGAGGAAGACATACCAAAGTCTATTCAAAGTGATAGCAAATTAAATACGGAAACATTAGGTATTAATTTTAAAGTTTTTTATTGCATTGAATTTCCTGATATTTAATGATCTGTCGATGCATTTATTTAAAAACTAACTTAAATTATAATAATTAAAAATATTTATTTAATAGTTTGACGCTTTAATTTGAATTACACTCTAATTGTCGATTTGTTTCGCTATTTATAAGTTATGATTGAATGCATAACAATTCAAATGAAGCGAATGTTGGCATTGATTGTCTGTTAACTAATTAGACATAAGTTATATAGTCATATAATTTAATATTTTAACTCCTATAAGTTATATAATTTTAACTTATATAATTTGGCAAAACATTCAACATTCTTGAAATAATCGTTGAAATAGTAGACAAACAATTTAATTGCATTTCTAGAGTCTGTCCAGTAGTGATGTAGAAGTTTGCAAAAACACTTAAACAAATAGGTATTAAGTTTTATGTTATAATTAATTAAGCATTTAATTTGAAATTATTAATTAATTTCATTGTGAAGCCAAAGGCAGTGATGCTGTGATTCCGGAGCCAAATAATATGCCAATAGAGAAACCGGTGAAAGAGAGTGAACCCAATGAATGTGATTTGAATAAGTCTAAGGAAACGAAACCAATTGAACCAAAAGAGTCCTATAAATTGAATGCAATTAAAGTAAATCCAGTCTTAGAAAAGCTAATGAGTAGAAGAAGGCATACGTTTGTAATGAAAACAATAGTTCCCAAAGAGATTTGCGGCGTTTGTGGCGATTGTATTCAGTTTTCCGAGAAATACAAGCAATGCGTGGACTGTATTGCCATCAGTCATATGAACTGTTCGGCCAAACTGCCGGTGCCCTGCATTCGCTACACTAACCCAACCCTAAAACCATCAAAACTCATATCCAATTATGTTTATCCATCGTTTAAGCCGTCGATTCCGGCGCTAATCATACACTGTATACGAGAGGTGGAGGAGAGGTGTCACGAATGCTCTCCAAACAGTCTCTATGTTATGAATTCCGAGGGTTTGAAACAAGTGAAAGATCTTTGCAATGATATTATTAAATCTAAATGTGGTTTTCCTTTGCTAAACAAGTTTAATATTAATATCATTTGTGGTGTCATTAAGAAGTTTTTGTCTGATTTTAATGAATCCTTAATTGGAAGAGAAATGTGGAAACAATTCTCATATAATATGAGTTAGTTTTGATTGAATTTTAAAATTAATAATTTTTAAAGTAATTTATTATTTGTTGTCTCTTAGAGAGGAAAAACGACGAAGAATTAGAATCAATGGTAAAGCAATTAATACAAGAAATGAATGCCACGAATAGAGACACACTTTGCTTCTTAATCCTACACTTAAGACACTTAAAAGACAACCAAAAATACATTTGTTTAGAAAACTTAATCCAAATATTTTGTCCGATAGTCTGCGGCGATACCGAAGTGAACCGTAAGATTAAACTCATGTCAGTTTTATTAGATATTAAACGAGAATTTTGGATAAGTATTCTCACAAAATGATTTCATTATACAGTATTAATTCCTGTCATAAAAACATTATTTAATAAATATTTATAAAAAAGTTTTATTTTTCATTTAATAATTAATTAAATGTTAGCAACAAATGTCATAAACTCGGATGAATGTGCTAAAAATTTTAAGCGTCACTTTAAAGTGTGAGCACACCTGAGACAACAGCTCTGGTACTTCCACTTAATTTAACCCTTTCTCCCGACAGTTCGCAGACAATAGTTCCTCCTCTTGCAGAACATTGTCGGCCAATAATTTGTTTCAATTCAA